AATGACCACACACACACACACACACACACGCACGCACGCACGCACGCACGCACGCACGCACGCACGCACAGGTATGCACAAGAAAAGGGAAAGAATTAAAGGAGAAAACAAACTTAAAGTTCTAAAGACAAAAGATTCAACCACCCTTTGGGTACACTTACACACCTTATATAGTGACATTCTTATGGGTTCTTCAAAGGAGTTCTGTCTACAATAGCAGTTCTTACCAACTGGCAGTCAAGAGACATTTACTTGACACTACTGACAAGGGTAGTATGTTTAGCAGCAGTAAGGGCACCCAATGTTAGACACTGGAGATACTCATAAACACCTTATTGCAAAGGAGAGCCACTCACAATTTTAAAAAAAAAGCTCAAAATTTCATTAATTCCCTAAGGATGTACGGTGGCACATACCTTTCATCCATCCCAGGATTCAGGAGGCAGAGGCAGGTTGAGTTCTGTGAGTTGAGGCCAGCCTGACCTAAGCAGTAAGTTCCAGAACAGCCAAGGACTGCAGACAGTCTCTTATGAAAGAAAAGAAATGGGAAACTATGTCCTACAGAAATCAAAACACATTATTTTAGAAAATTGCAAGTTACTTTCATATAAAATAATCTAGGTTGCTGGGATTAAAAGCACGCCTTTAATCCCAGCACTCAGGAGGCAGAGGCAGGAGGATCTCTGTGAGTTCGAGGCTAGGCTGGACCAACAGCCTACAAAATAACAGAGATACCCTGTCTCGTAAAACCAAAAAAAAAAAAGATAATCTAGGCCAAGCCAGATAGACCATAATAAACATAATAAAATTCAAAATTATGAAAGACTAAATACTAAGAAAAACTTAGTAGACAACAATAGCTTCATGAAAGAAACTTGCATATACCACAGATCTAAACATTCCCTTTGAGAGTACTAGAAAATATCAACAAATAATTATAAAAAATAAATAAAATTGACAGAAATGAACATAAATATAAACCAGATATAAACCAGATGCTATACACTGATTTAAGGACACTCTGTATCACTGAACTTCAAATTTAAAAATATCTTATGTTGAAATTCAAGTAAACCTTTGATTATAGGTACCAATTAATGAGTTTATACTAACATTAACTTGTGCTTAAGTGCTTTAACAATACAAAGCATTACAAGTGATAAAAATGTAGGACCAATCTTGACAATTAAAAGTATGCTTATTCTTACTATGCCATGACAGTGTAGTGCATATTAACATAAGCAAACTCAAATTCTAAAGTCATGTTTGCAGACAATAATTTAACTTCTGGGGCTGGAGAGATGGCTCAGAGGTTAAGAATGATGACTGCTCTTCCAGAGGTCCTGAGTTCAATTCCCAGCAACCACATGGTGGCTCACAACCATCTGTAATGATGCCCTCTTCTGGCCTGCAGGCATACATACAGACAGAACACTGTATACATAACAAATAAATAGATAAATATTTTTTAAAAAACTATTTAATTTCTCATTTAAAAAACAGGAGATCTAGCCGGGCGTTGGTGGCGCACACCTTTAATTCCAGCACTCGGGAGGCAGAGGCAGGCGGATCTCTGTGCGTTCGACACCAGCCTGGACTACCAAGCGAGTTCCAGGGACAGCCTCCAAAGCCACAGAGAAGCCCTGTCTCGAAAAGCCAAAAAAAAAAAAAAAAAAAAAAAAAAAACAGGAGATCTAATTCAAAGACCTGTTGCTAAGAATTAGCAGTAAAATATAAATAGAAGAGGCACTCTGTAAATGGCAGCAGCAATAATTGGTAGCAAAGCACAACCTATGAATACACTAAATCATGGCTTAATCTGTTGATCCTCACAATTAGCAAGTCACCTTGCTAATGACTTGACTCAAACTATAATGTATTTTGGCAAATTTTGTATTCTGAGCAACTCTGAACCACTAGTTAAAATTCAGTCATATTCTAGAGTATCTAACAGATAAAAGGCCCATCTCCAAATAGTACTTTATGAAAATAGTGCCATTCACATGACTCAAAATCCATAGTATGCCCAATCATGCAACTTCCCCTACAAATAATCAGTTTCATAAATCCTTTCACTATACTGTGAAATGTATACTGGCAAACACACAACCTCCCCCTTTGACACAAAGGTGAGTGCCTCTCCACAGCACCTGACTATATCTTTAACATTTATATTAAGTGCTTACATTTTGACTAATACACTCAGCAAATAACCACTTATAGCCAATTCCTATGATCAGATTCAACGAGTGGTAGCTATCTTTGTATTTTCTGAGACACGATCTCTCTATGATCCCTGGCCAAAAATAAGTCATTAGATCCACCAGCATATGAATTAAACCTGGTACACTGGAGATTTACATGAGGTGACATGCTGAAATAATTACCTGATCAGCTATCTGAAAGACTACATTTATATACTTAAAGAAAATATATAGATTGCACTATGGGTCCTTCATTAAGGTAAAAATTAACCAGCAGCCTATCTATGGAACTGAACACACTCAAATGTGGATGAAATAAAATACTGACTGAGGATAAAATTACCTGCTGTGCTTTTTATGTTACTAAATGTTTTTGGTTTTTTGAGACAGGTTTCTCTGTGTAAAGCCATGGCTGTCCTGGCACTCGCTCTGTAGACCAGGGTGGCCTCTAACTCACAGAGATCAGCCTGCCTCTGCCTCCCAGTGCTGGGAATGGCTTGTGCTTCCATATCCAGCTCACAGTATTAAATTCTATCTCATCTTTTCCAAGTATCTTTTGCTGTTTACTATCCTGGATTAGGTTCCTGCTAGGTTTATAAAGGCACTGTTCCTGTTTTCCTCAGAGACAATGACAATTTTTTAAATCTCAGACATAAGAATGAACTTTTATTTGCACGTGTGGGTATAGAGGTCAAAGAACAACCTTCTACCATGTGGGTCCTCGGGTCCAAACTCAGGTCATCAGGCTTGGCAGCAAGCCTCCTTTACCCGAAGAGTCATCTCCTCAGCTCATCACTTAAATAGAAAGTCACATCACTTAAGCAGAGGATATATGGATTTTTCAGGGCAGTAACTTGACACTTTCAAATAAAAGAAAGCATTACAAGTCTAAAGATTTGTACAATCTTACAGTAGAAAAAATGTTTTACGCTGCTGACACAAGAATTAGCTCTCATCTTTCATTAAGAATATATGTCTACAATCCCAAAGTACATTTGCTTATTAAAGAAAAAGTTAAAATCACTGTTAAAATGGATATGAATACAGACATTCACTGTTTCTGCATTGTTCCACAAAAATACAAAGTCATCCTTCCATTCAGAGTTCTGGCAAATGAACACAGAGGTCAGAGTTCATGCTAACTAAGACAGATCACTACTTATTTCTTAGTCTGTTCACTATGCTAATATAGTCACTTCAACTTTAAGTAACTTTCTACAAAAGATAATTATCTGCAGATTCAGTGGCACAAATAAGGCTCGAGTGCTAAAGGATTTGTAACAATTACGCACATACTTAAAATGCCTAATTTTAAAAACCATTATTGGCATTATCAAAATACCAAGCACATAAGAACATGCAGCACTGTATGGACAGTGGAATGTGAACCCTGAGAAAAATAATTATTTTCAGAATTTTCTTGCTAAATTCAATTTTGGAATTTTTGTTCATTCAGATCTGAAGAACCTTACTATTACTTGCACAGCTGAATCAAACTATTAAATTACTTTCAATATTTCACATAAATAAGCATGGACAGCATTAATGTATTTAAATTCTGAAGGACTCATGGGTAGCTAGCCCTATTTTCTAATATGCTATTTCGTGATATATTTTGTGTCAGAACAAAAGTAACTCAATAATGAGCTACAGCAATGTGTATCTGATGAAATATCTTAGTTTTGTTTAAGTCAAAACTAAGACTTAAGTTCCCTACAGGAGACATCACAATGAAGTTTCACAGCACACTAGTCACAGAGGCACTGCCCTAGGAGAGAGACTGATATTGGCGAACAGTATTTTGAAATAAGCAGTACTCATCCTCTTCATTATTTTTCCTGGTTCAAATCATTTAATAACAGACAAGTAGCTAGATGTCAATGATGAGGCCTAGTTACTGGTGGAGTACGTGGAAAAGAGATACTTATCTAATTTGGAATTCATTTCCTGTACGTAGTGCAAATTGCTTCAACACCCCTTCCAAATACGATACTGACCATGATGCCTCCATGGGTCCCCCAACACTACTACAAGGGAGTAACTGAGTACCTTCCTTTCGTCCAGACTTAAGGGCTCTGTACGCTCCTTCCTCAAAGAAAAGGCAGCGAAGGCCTGGCAAGCGATGCCCAGAGCACCCCTAAAAGTGAGGGCCTGCGAGGTGCGCCGCTGCCGGGGATCCAGTTACTCTGTTCCCCCTTCCCCCAACCCACTTCCCGGGTTTTCTCGGCCTGCTCCTTCCCCACCCCGGAGCCACACATCCAGATGCTGCCGCCGCCTCGGGGCTCTCCCCCGAGCTCACGTGTCCCCGGCAAGCGCTTCTGCATCCGTCCCCCCAAAGCCCGTTCCTCCCCAGGCCGGCCGGCCAGCCGGCCGCCCGCGAGACCGCCTATCCCAGGGCCCGGGGAGGGGAGGGAAAGGCGGCAGGAGGAGGAGGGGAGAGCGCCGCTTCCCCCTCGGCGGACAGGCGGCCGCGGCGCGGCCAGCCGGGGCCGCCGGGGCCGCGGCAGGAAGGGCCCTCCCGCCCCGGGCTGAGGTGGGGGTGTCCGGTAGACCATTCCTGACCTCCTCGCTCTTCAGCACCTCCTTGAACTCCCGCTTGATTCGCTGCACCGCGATGTTGGCCATGTCTCTGCCCGCAGCTGATTCGTACCCGCCTCCTCCGCCACCGCTACGACCACCGCCACCGCCGCCACCTCTTCCTCCACCGCCTCCTCCCTCAGTGATTCAGACCCGAGCACACGAACGCTGCCACTGCCACCCTTGCCGCCGCCGCGTTCCCCCTCAGTGTAGAATCACCTCCGCGCCCGGCCACCAAAATGGCGCCGGGTCCGCGCATGCGCACCACGCTGACCCGGGCGGGCGGCGCAGCCGCTCCTGTGGTAGCCCCATACGTCTCAGCAGCGAGCCCGCGCCGCGCCGCGCCGCGCCGCGCGTCTCAGCCGGGGCCTCGGGCGCGTGGCTCCGCCCTGCCGGCGTCTGGGGCGAGGAGGGTGCGGCTTCCGCGCCGGTCAGCGGGGTCTGGGCCTGGCCGGTCCTTCCCTGCCCCTCCGCCCCTTTCCCCGGGAGGCTCGGACCCGAGGTGGGAGCCCCACCTGGCGGGTTCCCCACCCGGCCTGAGCCCCGCTCTAACTCTGCCAGACCCAGAGCCCACGGGCTTGAGGGGCCGCCCCGTGTCCGACCGCGGATAAAGCTATGCAGGAACTCGGTCCTGCCCAGCGTCCGTTGGTAACCCCCCCCTCCGGGAAATCCACTGCCGTAGCTTTTGTTCTGGAACCATGATCACGCAGCTATTATTCGGTCATCTCAGGTACTACAGGCACATTGAGGTTGCGTGATGGTCGGATCCCACGGGTTGTGCTTGCTACAGGGAAAGGCCTGTGGTTGGTTTGAAGTGCCAGACGTTAATCTTTGGCCCGTTTAGATGGTGAATGTTGAGCTGTAGAACTAGCATTGTTTTTAAAAGTTGGAACCTCCCCCCCCCCCCCCGAGCTTGTTAAGAGTGCTGGGCCTCGTCCCTACAGTGTGGATGGGCCTAAGAATTTGCATTCTTAGCAAGATCCCTGGCTGCCTACTTGTCAGCTGTGAGAACGGCCGAATTAAGCGTATGAAAAATCCGTTTTGACTTACGGTAAAAGTTGGAGAAATAAACACTCCTTAGGAGGACGAAGGAGCTTTAGACCCACAAAGGTGTTTGGCACTTGGTAGATTTCAATGAGCCGTGAGAATAATTGAATGGAGAAGAAAATAAACGAGTAAAATGTTTTAGGTGAACAGTGTTGAAAGGAGGTTTGAAAGTGGTCAGTAGAGTTTAAAGCAAATACTATGGTTTGGGTACTGAGAATACTTTGAAATAACGTTTAGAAATAGTGAAAGTGTTATTTTCAGGAGTATGTTTCATGTATTTCGCCACCTAATCAATCACTTGAATATTCCAAGACTAATCGGAGCTGAGTGTGGTGGTCCACACTTGTAATCCCAGAAATCGGGAGTCGGAAGCGGAAGGATCAAGGATCGTGAGGTCAAGACCAGTGTCAGAGTGCTGCCAAGAGCCGAGAGGACTTTTTATTCCCTGGTCTGCCCCATGACACCTCCGTTGTCAGCTACGATTCCCTCATCTGAAGTAAAGAGGTGCTTAGACTTCCAAGAGTCCAAAATTCTGAAACATCTCAACGTTTCCTGCGAAGACCTAAATTATAAAAACTCTTGTAGCAGAGCCCCCTAGTGGTTATAAGGGGAGTCAACTATTACATCTGAACAGTAGAAAGAATTTTTGCCATGGTAGAAATCTAGAAGTACTGTAGGTATTTGTGCCCATACGACTTACAACAGTTTTTTTTAAATCACACTCTGCCTATCCTCAAGAAACTGAACAGTAGCCAAACGGGGAACTAGTTATAAAGGTTTGATGATTTATTTAAAAGAAAGGAACTTGGTAGTGCCTTTTCTGTTCCGAAGTTTGAACCCAGGGCTTGTCCATGCCAAGTGTGTGCGCTACGAATGGTCTGCAGCCCAGCCAGGTTGTGGTGTGTGTTTATGTTTAGGCGGGTTCTCATTATACAACCCAAGCCAACCACAAACTGAATTTATTCTGACTCAGCCTCCCTAATGCTCAGACTACAGACAGACACTGCCACACCAGGCTCAGGTATGTGAGTTTTCTTTTTTCTTTTTTTTTTTTTTTTTGGTTTTGGTTTTTTTTGTTGTTGTTGTTGTTGTTTTTCGAGACAGGGTTTCTCTGTATTGTTTTGGAGGCTCTCCTGGAACTCGCTTTGTAGACCAGGCTGGCCTCGAACTCACAGAGATCCACCTGCCTCTGCCTCCCGAGTGCTGGGATTAAAGGTATGGGCCACCAACGCCCGGCGGTATGTGAGTTTTCTAATGCCAGTAATCATTTAACTGAACTCCCCCCCTTTTGGAATTCATTCTATTAACATTTAAAGACCCCAAAGGATGTGACTAGTGACACCTGAATAACTTCATGAGTAGTATCATAGCAGTGTTAGTGTCTCAGTTTTGGGAAAGCACTGTAGTAATGTCATTTACAATGTTCACATTAACCTAAGGTGAGTAAAGAACACAGAAATCTCTACTATCTTTGCAGCTTATCTGTAAACCAGTAATTCTGTACTGGGCATGGCGCCTCACTCCTGTAACTCCAACTTCTTGGGAAGCTAGGACCAGGGAGCTATAGGGCAGCCTATAACTCTGGTCAAGAGAATGGAATCTCTGGTCTGGGTGTAGACCCGACATTCCAGCTGGACTAGTTGGGTCTGTTTGGCTGAGGACCACCTTCCTCCATGCTAAAGAGATAGGCAGCATGATTAGTTCATTAATGAGATGTTGTACTTTTCCTTCCCAGAGTCTCCTCCCCACCCCTAGTGCAGTAGCCCAGGCCCTGAGCTTCGTATGTTTGTGGAGCTGCCCGCTATTCCCAATTACTCAGAAAAGTTAAATTTTACTTTTCTTCTGTCTGATAAATATGCTTTTCCTTAATACTCGGCTCTCCCCCCGCCCCAAACATTTTGGGCTCCCTTATTTCTACAAAGCTTCCCACTGTGTGGCTGCTTATTTTCCATGTGCCTGACATCAATATCGCTGTAAATGGCCTCCCCCCCCTTATCTCCTCCAGCTAACTGCTGAAATTTAGAACTCATCTGACTTAGGGTTTTTTTTTTTCTTTTTGTTTTTGTTTGTTCTTGAGAAAAGATTTCACTGTAGCTTTGGTAGGCCTGGATCTCAGTGGTAAACCAGGCCAACCTCAGAAAAGATCCACCTGCCTCTGTCTCCTGAGTGCTGGAATTAAAGACACACTTTTTTTTTTTTTTTTTTGGTTTTTCGAGACAGGGTTTCTCTGTGGCTTTGGAGGCTGTCCTGGAACTAGCTCTTGTAGACCAGGCTGGCCTCGAACTCACAGAGATCCACCTGCCTCTGCCTCCCAAGTGCTGGGATTAAAGGCGTGCGCCACCAACGCCCGGCCTCACACTTTTTTTTTAAATTATCCTTGTTTCCATTTGATTCCATTGTAGGGAAAAGGGTCCAGCCAAAGAAACACACCCTGAGAAGAGCCAAAGAAGCACACTTTGGCCTTGCAACCAAAAGAAAAGAAATGCACCCTGACCTGAAACCAGTGCCAAAGAAACACTTTGTCCCTGGAATCAGAGCCAATGAAAGAAGTACACCCTGAAGCCGGGCGTTGGTGGCGCATGCCTGTAATCCCGGCACTCGGGAGGCAGAGGCAGGCGGATCTCTGAGTTTGAGGCCAGCCTGGTCTACAAAGTGAGTTCCAGGACAGCCTCCAAAGCCACAGAGAAACTCTGTCTCGAAAAACAAAAAACAAAAAAAAAAGAAGTACACCCTGGCCCTAAAATTGGAGCCAAAGGACCAGAGAAAGAAACACACTTTGGCCCTGAAACCAGAGCTAATCTGACCCTAACTCAGTGTAGAAAACTAACCAATCCCTGAGTAGGAAGGAGATCTAGCCATCCTAAACCAATCCCCACCCTGGAAAAACTCTACCTCCTGAGACGCCCTATATAAACCCTGTGCCTGTTCAGCTTCTGCCGGTTCTGACTTCCTGGCTGTCCTCTGCCACCTTGGCAGAAGGCAGCCACTCTCCTGGATTCTTCCCTCCCAATTTGGGTGAGACCTTTTGCTGGAGCAGAGTAGAGCAGGTGGAGCAGGGCTCACCTAGGAAATATTCCCTGGCTAAACCAAATTGTTAAACTCTACTCTCCAGGGGACTGGAACCAAACTGTAACAACTTTGCTAAAGCAGCTCTCTCCTGCAGGAGCAGAGCTGATAGACTGGGGAAGCCTTTTCCTGAAGCAAAGCTTTAAGCTGCTGTCCTTACTGCGGTATTCCTTGGCTCCCGAGTGCCAGAATACCTTTCCATCCAAGTTGTAACACTCAGTATTTTTTAGCTCTCAAGTGCCATAATCCATCCCTGGCCATTCCATCAGATCCATGGAAATGCTTACATCCATCCTTAAGTCATTTTATTAATGAGACTAAAAGACCCCAAAGGTGATCCCAGGATTATCAAAGACCTTCATTCAGGCAGGAGAGATGGTTCAGAGGTTAAAAGCACTGACTGCTCTTCCGGAAGTCCTGAGTTCAATTCCCAGCAACCACATGGTGGCTCACAACCATCTACCATGATATCTGATGGTCTCTTATGGTGTGCAAGCAAACATGCAGACAGAACACTGTATACATAATAAATAAATCTTAGAAAAAAGAAAAAAAAACCTTCACTTGAGAAGCTTTTTTAATGATTACAAAAGAATCCAAGCAGTGGTGATGAATGTCTTTAATCCCAAGCACTAAGGAAGCAGATTCACATGAATCACTGAGATCTAGGCTAGTCTGGTCTACAGAGTTCCCACACAGCCAACGGTACACTATCCCTGGAAAAAAAATAATACAAAAGAAAGAACTTAGGGAGGGGTGTGTTTGTGTGTGTGTAGGTCAGGGCATGTGTGTGAAGGTCATTGAGATAATTTGGGGAGTTGATTCTTCTACAATTTGAGTCAAGGGATTGAGTTCAAGTCAACAGGTTGGCAGTGTTAGAAATAAATTCAGGGAGCCATGTGTTGGTGGTGCACATCTTTAATCCGAGCACTTGGGAAGCAGAGACAGGTGGATCTCTGAGTTCAAAACCAGCCTGGTCTACAGAGGGAGTTCCAGGACAACCTCCAAAGCAATATAGAGAAACCCTGTCTCAAAGCAAGCAAACTTTTAACCAATAAGGTGCTCAGAAGCATGAACACACAGACAGGAAGTGCATTTGGTGTTTGTTCTGACTCAGGTAGTGACTGCCTTTTCCTCATTGGCTGCCTGGGTCCCACCTCACAGTCTTAATATGCTTAGTATGAAAGGAATTGGTGCGCAGGAAGTGAATGAAGGAAAAGGAAACAGGTCACACTCTAGGCCATCAAATTCCTGGAATACTTCAAGCCTTGGACCTTTGTATAACAAAGGAGGGATTAAAACATTTGCATAAAAGTCTTACAAGGTGGGAAAGGGGATAAAAACACTTTAACTTCTTGTTGTAAACACAAGGTTTATGGTATTTGATAGAAAAAAG